CTGACCATCTTCCTCTCCAGTGGGGCTTCCTTTGGGAAGCCAGCATGGTGTGCATTGGCTGTCTGGCACTTTCCTTCCTGGCAAGCTTCTGCTTTGTCCAGCTTTGTCATCTTTGATTCATTAATTCCCAACATCTGCATTGTTTGGCAAAGGGGAGTGGCTCATGGGGGCTGGGTTTTGTTGCTGTGAGCACAGAATTTGCAGAAAACAAGGTATTCCAGAGGAGCTTGCTGGGATGGGAACATCTCTGCTCCTAGCCTTTGAAAATGGAACAAGAAATGAAAGCAGACAGTAAGTAAAACTAAAAGGAATACATTGCATGCCATGCTGACTGGTTCATCTACTATTTTTATGCAGCTGTACTTCTTGATTAAGATATTAATAAACTGTGTTTTCAAGTAATATATTAAAAATAACTGTTTCCAGAACCGAACCTCTCTTCCACCAAATGTCAGTGTATGCACTTGTCCAGTTGGTGTTTGTGGAAGGAGCGGAAAGGGTCAGCACATTGGTTGTGCCATGTCTGTGACCTAAAGGTGTTGCTGTACCTTTAGGCACAATGCAAAGTCCACTGATTCCAGTGGAACAGGGACTTAATCCTTAGAGGTGTGAACTTAGTCCCTGAATCTCTGCTCCTGGGATGCTTCCTAGTTTTGTCTTTAAGGTGGGATTCTTGGAGCCCACTATAAACTGCCTGACATGGGTTAGAGATTAAACTGGGGTTTGTTATCTTTTAACAAAATGCTGCTTAATCAAAATATCTGTCATGATGGAGCTTTGATCTTATGCCCTTGACTATATCTTCTTCATTAGATGTTAATATGGTGCCTGAAGAAACTCTAATTGTGTGGGGCCCCAGTGAAATATCGCTGTCACTGATGCTACTGAAAAGTAATTGAGTTCTGACTTTCCTTAATTTATGAATGAGAAAAGCTTTGATTAGCTAAAGAAGAAATAATGATGCTACAGGAAGTTTCTGTTTAATCAGCCGGGAAAAAAAAAAAGTTTGTGGTCCTGGAGATGCTGCATGGAATGCTGACATCCAGCTCAACCAGCCAGACAGTGAAGCAGTGGGGGAAGTAACTGATGAGGGTGAGAACCACAGGTTAACTGCTAGGGTTTGCCAAAGATTGAGACTCTCCCAAACTTTTGCCTATGGATTCCAATCCTAAATGCACTGAAAATGGGGGTCTTCCTGCTGACGTCAATGGGCTCTTGCTCAGTCACTTCTTGCCAGCTGCAGTATTTGCTGTCCCCATGGGCTGTCTGGAGGGGTGTGTGGGGAAAGCAGCGTTTGGCCTTGGTTTATACCTGCCTCGAACTTGTCCCTCTCTGCAGAGGAATGTCCTCAAAAGATAAAATACGGTTACTGCTCCAGCAGGAGGAACCCAACCCTGCTTCCCATACAGAGGTGCCTTCATACCAACTTCCCCTCCTTTAGCTGTTCTTTAAAGCTAACCAGCAGTCATGCTCCACATGGTACTGAGCCTCGACACTGCCTGCGAGCACTTAGCCCAGCACCCTCGGGTGAGAGATGAGGGATTTTCCAGTTGAGAAATGGGGTCTGAGTGCACACGACTGTCATGTCTGGCTGTTTTAAGTACATGCATAAAAGCCTCATTTTAGACATCCGAGGAACGTAAATGTTAAGTGCCGATGTGCCATGTGGATCTTGGGCACCTCAGGAAGGCGAACAGAGGTTTCCACCCATGTAGGTCTTTACTCGGCTCGTGGCTGCACACCCACATTGCAGCTGGTCAGACACAGAGGCGGCGGCAGCCCCGCTCTCCCGCCCTGCTGAGCGGGAGAGGTGGCAGTGTCCCGGCAGTCGTTAGGGGACAGGGGGTCCTTCTGAGGAAGATGCTCAAAGCTGTTGGTGTCCCTGTGCAGGAAGGGTAGGAACACAGCAGTGCACAAGAGGTTTGGTCATATTTTAACAACCATCCAGTGTTGCCCTATTTGCTCACAAAAGGGCCAAACCTTTTATAAACTGATTTTATAACCTGATTTTCAACCAAAGGTGAAATCACATTTTGATGCCAGCTCGGATGAACCCAGTGAGAAGCTGGGCTGCACTGCAGGAGCCACGCAGGCGGTGTGCTCAGTGCCCAGGACCTTGCAGCACGCTGGGTTTTAGGGGATGGTGTGATATGGGTCGCGCACAGGTCTGACAAACAGAGCTTCGAGTCTGAGGCTGGAGCTCGCTCTCCTGCTGCTGCATGCCGTGGGAATTTTGCTAGCTATTTTGGTGTGTCTAGAGCTGGATCCTGATGATACAGAACAGAACCTGAAATATCGGATGAGTAACAGCCCAAGCTCTGAATTTCCTGGCTTTGGTCAAAGTCTATCTCAGACTTATTGTTGTTTTAAAATGGAGCTATGTGTTCATGTTTATAGACTATTGTGATTTCCAACATCACCGTAGCAACAACCGTGCAGTTGATTTATTTACTCCAAATTTGGGATATTTTTAACCTGGTCACTTAAACCATTTCCATTGGACTGGAATTTGATACTTATACTCTTATCTCCATCTTTTGTTGTAAACAGGTTTTTGTTTAACATTTGCACATTAAAAATAGGCATTCAGGTTCTCTTGGTAATGTGTACAGAAATCCATTATATTGGAATGAAAATAAAGGATTTGTTGTGATGTAAGAGTTAAAATAAGAACCTGGGAGTTCATGTTTCTGGAATATTTCTCTGCAGCACACGAAGGGAAGGCACTCATCCTCCCTCCGCCCTTCTCCTCCCATGCGTGCCGAGCACGGCACTCGCCCACCTGAGCAGGGCTGCGCGAGCCTTGGTGAGCTGCAGAAAGGGAGCCCTTGCTAAAGGTGTGCAAGTCCTTTCAGTTGTTAAAGGTTTGTAAAAGCTGCACTTTCTGAATGAGGAAATTCACAACATTTTCAATCATAGTTGTGGTTCCTTTTCCTTATGAGTATACAATTGCACACAGACATACCAAAACACCAAAACCAACAACCAAGAATGCAATGCTAAAACAGAGGGGAAGGAACAGCACCTCTCCAGCACTGCACGGAAGAGAAAGCTGGAGTTTTGTCATTACTATGAAGCCCCAGCAGACTGGCACTGTCTGTGAACTAATTGACCGGTGAATCCAAAATTGTTTGGGATGTTTTACTTACTGCTTGAGGAAGGTGTTTCTGCTTGATCTAGACATGACCAAGATAATCCCACTGAAGGCATCTTACTGATTGATTTTTCACAAGGAAGTTCTCTGTAGTGCTTATCACTTACCATTACTTGGAAACACGTGCTCCTTCAGCTCAAGGACAGCCATGTCTTCTCCTGCACGAGTGATGTGACATTTCAAATGAAGCATGTAGTTTCTTATTTTCATAGGAAGAAATAATGGAGAGATTAATTTAGCTTCCTGGAAGAAAGGAAGATGCTCTCAGAAGGAAAGTCGAGCAAATCAAGTTGATGGATGACTACCCTCAGCCTCTCTGTGCCGGTCAGACTGCCTGTTGTTGCCAGGCTGGCATCTGCTGGCTCCTCTGCGCGCTCTTTTCTTGCACAGGCTGAATTTTTGTAATCAGCTGCTGCGATATGAAAGGTCACTGGATAAATGGCTTAATAAAAAGAATTGTTTCTGTGTTAGGCATCAGGAGGACCAGTTGCTACCAGTGGTTATTTTTAGAGCAGTACCTAAGGAAAAAAACAACTGATGTCCCACAAGCAGAATTGAAATAAGCTGGAAAGTTTTAGAAAAGGCAGTCGCTTAAAGAGGAGAGTCTTTGCTGGTCAAGCTAAGGACTGACATTTCAAAGGCAGCCAAGAGGTGCTGACCTTCACCTCTGTTCATGGCCCCGTAAAGATGTAAATGTGTGCAATTTTGAGCTCTTCAGCTACAACGTCTCACCTCTTTACCAGGCAATGTCTCTGGGTGTGTGGAAAGTTCCCGGCGCCTTTCTCCTGCCTGTGTGCTTAACCCAGCCTGGGCTGGGCGCCCGTCCCAGCCGGGGCCGCGCTCCCCTGCGCCGCCAGCCCAGGGCTGCGGCTGCCCCCGCCGGGCTCCTCACCTCCAGGGCTCTCCCGGGCCACGGAGGGAGCTGAGGACCTGCAGGGCTTTGTCACCTACACAGGGTGTCAGTGTTGTTCCACTTCAGCACGGGGACTGAGCTCCTGGAAAGCAAGACGGTGGGAAAGGACAGCAGATCTTCTGACTGCATATTGGCCTGTGACACCCGTTTGGTGTGTGCGCCAACCAGCCTCGAGGCTTCCTCACTCACTGGTGTTTCCCTGGGCTATAGGTGACCTGGACCTGGACCCAGAGCCAGGACATCCCCTGACGCCTTCTGCACCCCCAGGGCGGCTGGGTGACTGTGAGTGGATCGTCCAGGGCAGAGGTACGTGCATGGCACTGACAGTCTGTACCCCTGTAACTTTATTCTTCTGACAGTAAGGAAACAACAGCAGCTGCCTAACCCAAGGAGGTGCCGTGCAGGGTGGACAGTCCCATGAAACCCTCCCTCCTGTACGCTACAGCTACTGCAATGGGCGTGTGCCTGTCCAGCTCGCAGAGTCCTTTTTACCTCCCGAGCCGCTGTTCCGGCCTGCTTCTTTTGCAGACAGATATGTTTTGGAAAGCAATTGGCTTTGACATCTGGCTGTGCTTCTCCCTACTTGGAAAGTCATCAAGAACTCTGCTGAGCGGGGGGCTGGGACCACTGCACTGCCCTGAGCAAAGCAGCAGGGTCAGTGCTGAGGGCACAGGCATGGGCACGGCTGCCCAACTCACCTGGGAGCCATCCCAGTGCTTTGCTGGAATGCCACTGGGATGAGGCGGACTGGCAGCAACTTCTGGCTGGGTTGCGGGGGGTGTTTGGTGCGAAGCAAACTGCTGACCCAGGAGTGGCTTTAGCTGCTACAGCTGAACCTTCCTGCAGTTGTGAGCAAAATCTGTCTTGGGTTTAAATTGGGCTTGAATTCCTCCATTGCCCTTTCCCGTAGGAACAAAGCCCCTTCCACCACCTTTGGACCCACCAGGCAAGCCTGGGGAGCAGAGGAGCAGGCCTCCCTTCATGCAGCACAGGTAAGCAGCTTTGTAGGGAGTGTGTTTTATGCACTTCTCTTGAAAGCAGCTCAGCGCAGCCCTGGGATGGGAGGTGAGCCCTTGCACCAGCCCCCAGAGCTGGCTGGGGTCCCACGACCCCAGAGATGGCAGAAAGGCTGCCCTCACCGCAGGCATCGGCAACCTGAGGTGTGCCCAGGGCTGATCCCGGGGGCAGACGCAGACCCCTGTGGCACCGACAGCTCTGGCATCATCCTTGTGCCGCCTCCTGCCACCATGGCCAGCCCTCAGGTCGGGCCCAACTGCTGCCGCTGACCCTGCACCAGGCATCCTGCAGTCCTGTCCCCCTGTGCTGGGCAGCCAAGGTGGGGAGAAGGTGGACGGGTGTCTTATGGATCCGGCAGTGCCGAGAAGCAGCAGTGCTGACTTGCATGGGTGAAAGCCTTGGGGCAGGGGCAAAAACTGAATTTCCAGGTGCAGGGCTGCCTTCCCCACAGCCCAGCGTCCCCAGCGGCAAGGCTGCTAAAATATCCTCTGTCTGGGTGTGACCAGAGCAACTCCTCGGAGGTGGGGCTCAAACTTTGACGTTTTCTTTGGACTGTAAGTACCACATGGATTTTATGCTAGTCCTTCTCCCAGGGTCAGTTATTCTGTCTTTTATGCTTTTATTGCTTATTGTCTTTTTTCTCTCCTGATTTTCATCCTGAATTTATAAAACAAAACAAACCAAAACACCCACCCACCTTTTTCCTTTGCACATAGAGAAAAAGAAAAAACAAGCACAGCTCAAAAGGCAACATTTGATCCAAGGTAGTATAAGATGGTGGGAGTCTGCTCCTGCTCATTTTCTTCATCTACATGTGGGTTCAGACTGGATATCTAGTGGCATTACATTTCTCAGCCTTAATGAGAGGGGAAAAGATGACTGCAGGACAGTGATCTGCCTAATCATCTCATAAACACAGTCTTGAAAGGACAGGAAAGTGAATAAATAAACATGGGAGCTTTGAGTTTGATCAATGTCTGGTGAACACTTGTTAGAGAAACAAACATCTGGTTAAAAAAAAAAAGAAAAAGGGAATGTGAAGGTTCAGGGATACTTGTTAAGAGACGTGTGTTAAATTTCCTTTGGATAGCAGTGAGCTCGGGGATAACAGTTGGGTCCCCAGCCGGCAGCGGCGGTGTCGGGGCTGCTGCAGGCAGCGCCTGCCCGGTGATGGAGCTGGGGGAGCGCTGGCTCCTGCCCGGCCAAGCTGCCCCTCCTGCCCTGCGCTAGCATCCCTGCCAGACCGAAACAGCTGTACGAGCTGTGAGATCGGCTCCTGCTCTTTATTGAAGAGGGTTTTCTTAATATCTCAGCTGTCACCGTATTGACAGGGAGGGTTCTTAATGAATATTGTCTGGGGTCCTAACAAAACACTTGCCAGCTCGCTCGGCCACCGAGGCTGGAGACGTCATGGGCTCTGAGGAAAGGATTCATTGCTGAATATTCCCACAGAGCAAATGCTGACATTATCTCCTCTGTTACCATTTACTTCGTGGTGTTTTAATATGCTTTCCCAATCAGAGAGATGAAAAAATATGTAATGGACAGTGTGAGGACAGATGGACCTGTCTCAGGCTCGGGCAGTTACTGTAGGTTTTTCTCTTTTACTTAAGAAGATGACTGATGAGGATTTTTGAGGAACCACCCCTGAGAAACGGCTTTTAGGCTCATTTTTTCCTATTCTCATCATTCCGCTCTATCCCCGTTGGCAGGGGAGGTAGGAGTGCCCCGCGCTGCCTGTGGCACCTCCAGGGACCTGCCACCCCAGCCACGCGTGGGCAGAGCTGCTGCAGGGAGCCAAGGGGCGCACGGGATCTGCTTGATGCACAAGTTAGTCTTTCTGCTGTTGTTTCTATTAACTGAAAATAGAAAACAGCTCAGAGTAACAGGGGTCCTAGGTCTGGAAAAATAAAAAGTGCCATTTCTAATCCTGTGAGCTGATGGAAGCTGTTGATTTGTAGCTTGCAAAGACACAACAATGTTTCGAATCAGCTCTCCTTTACCCAGCCTGCTGAAGGCGAGGGTTTGCACACACACATATTTATTTTAGACCACTCTTTAATATTGACCTTATGGATATTGCATGTAGATATTTTTTAGAGTGTAAATCTCTTTTTATTTTGTACTAAACAGGATGCCAGCAGTGATTGTGTAAAATAGGTGGGTGCTCCCAAATGGGCTCTACTTCACTTTTTTGCAGTAGGTTAAATATACTGAATGTTTCCAGCTAATTCTTTAAAAGTTAAGAGTATAAACCTGTTTTGTTCCCGTTGCCTCCCAGCGTGCCCCCGATGTCAGAGGCGGTGGCCAGGCAAGCCCTCCTGCGCTTCGTGGCCTCCCGATGCTGCTATGGGAGCAGAGCCGCAGGAGAGCTGGCCATCCAGCGGCTGCGGCAGCTGGGGACGTACCGAGTGAGTACCTCCAGACCTGGCATCTTGGGCACCTCTTCTGAGCGGCTGGGATAATTTCCAGTTACATAGTGACACTGGGCCACCAAGAACCATTCATTCATTAAATTAAAAGGCTTTCATCCTACTTTAAACACAGACATACAAGTGCTTTCCAAGGGAAGTCTACCTAAGAGCTGACTACAGGCTTTTTTTTATAGCTGAAAGGTCCATCCTCCTCTACAGTAAAGCACCACTTTGGCAAAGCCCCTGGAAGCCTTCTCTTACAGCCTAGCTGTGGCGAAAGAGCCCTTTCCTTAGCTAAACTGCAGGAACCTGCTCTGCAGCTTGGTGTTTTGGGCTCAGGCAAGCACAGAGTGTCCTATAATGCCACGCCTCCTCCCAGCTGTGAATTTATTCTGGTAATGTTTAATTCCACAGAAAACATGTGGACTTGGTTCCCTCTCACTGAAAATAGTTATTGCAGATTTGGTGCTTGCTGCAGTTAGTCTCTGGATCTTGAGTCAGTCAAGGTTTGGGGAATAGATGCCCAGCAAACCAAAATGGTGGGTTCTGTGCCAGGCTTTGGTGCTGGTGCTGCCTGGGCAGCCGTCCAGGGGAGTGCTGCTCTGCCCACCCCGCTCCCTTTTCTGGGGCTTCTTGGAGGGGATAATGAAGGAGCATTGAGGAGCAGGGTGCTGGGAATGCCCTTTGATGGGCACTGTGGGGCAGATACTCCTTTACACTAGTGTTTGTTCTACTTCTGAGATTACTCACAAACATTATCTGGCCCTTTCCTAAAAAATAAGCCACAGGATTCTCCAAATAATAGCAAAACTCACTTCTGCTGTGAAAATGCCAACCCTTTTTTCTTATGCAAGTTGTACTCAGAGATGGAAGAGTCTGGGAATGCTCCTGAGACCCGTTATTAGCAAGTCACGGTTCAAATTTAAATGCCTGCTTTGTGCAAGTTGTCTTTCTGGTGAGTGTGTGATTTTTCTCTTTTAGTATCGACTGGAGACGTTCAGTGAGTCGAGGTTAAGCGAGTGGGCGTTCGAGCCTTTCACCAGTAAGTGATTGCCCTGTCTCCCACTGGAATGGCTCTTGTGGGACATGCCCCACACGTTGGAGCTGGGGTCTGTGGCAGTGCTCACCGTCCAGGGCTCACGTGGCTCCTGGAGATGACTTGAGCCTGGTTTAACGTGCATTAGGTTTATCTGATCCCTTGTGGACATTTGTCACAGGGATCTGCAGAGCCCATGAAGCTGGGGCAAAATGCTTTCCTCTGCAGGCTTAGTTTGCTTTGCTTGTGTTGGGGAGGTTTTGCAGCATGCCCTGGGAGCAGAGGTCTTTATTTCCCTGCCTCTGCAGCAGTAATTTCCTACCAAGTGCCATGTATTCTAAAAGCTTGATTTGGGATGGGCACATGCAGGCAGTGGAGCTCTTTCTTTGCCAACCTGCTGAGGACTGTGGGGAACCTCTGCCCCTGGTTTTTGGGTGACGGCTGATCCCAGGTGCCCGCACTGGCCTAGGGAGTCTGCTGGGAGGGCTGGGGGGAGACAGGGGCTGTGCCATGGTGGCAGGAGGATGCTCAGCACCTCCGGGTGCCCATGGCACGGACCACGTAGGGTCAGTCTCTGGTGCGACCCCCACATGGGGATGGGGAGCGATGTTGGCCAGTCCCTAGCAGCACCAGGAGCCGGCCAGCATCTGAGCACTACCACCAGCAAGATGGGTAAGATGCCATCCCCTCCTGCAGAGCCTGGAGCAGCCAGACCCCCCGGGGACACCCCCCTGGACCCCTGGGATGTGGAGGTTGTGGACCCC